ATTAGGGAAGAATGTTGCCACTAAACTTCTCTATGATGGTGGGAAAGTCCCTAGATCTTTCTGTGCTCCATTTTCCTTAAGGGATTGGACTGTAGATGCTATTGGAGATTCCCTTCCAGCCCTATGATGTACAAGAGCCCATCTGGTGCTTTCCTTCTTGATCTTATACTGTACCTATCAGCTAGAGTTTGGTTCAAGATGACCGAGAGGGTAGACTGAATTGTGACAAAGTAGGATGGAGACTTATTTTAGCAGGGATGGAAGGAGTAGGAGAAAGAAGAGTAGGAAGTTCACCCTGGATGGAAAATTCCATGTAAAGTCAGTATCGTGGTGGACGGGTGACCACCACCGCATGGGGAAGTTCACATCGAGCACAGCCCAGAACTGTGACACAACCTGGCTCTAGCCTCAGCAAAGATCTGCCTTTTATCTTAAAATATTAAAATTAAGGAGAGAGTCTAGGAATACAATGAAAATGCGTGAGGGTTTGGAAAGACTTTTTAAGAAAGGATCAATTAGAGGCAGGGTAGAGTTGGTACAGCCTGATGGTTGAATGGATGTTGGAGGCAGATGAAGCTCAAGGCTGAACTTTTCCTCTTACTAGCTGTGTGATAGTATTCGAGTTCTAAACCTCCCTAAGGCTGTTCTGTCCTCATCTGTAAAATGGGAGAATAACTGCCGTCAAGTGCGGTGGGGATTAGGTGATGCATAGCAGTGGCTGCTGCATTGCGTGTTTACTATATGCCGAGTTCTCTGCATGCACACCAACGTGCCAACGTGCAGCTGGGGCTCAGCCTATGCCTGCCAACCACTAAACAAGAACACAATGAATGCAGGCCCTCCTCATGATCTCAATGGCATCTTGGAAAGATCATCTGGCTGCATTCTTGTCCTGCTGTGTGGCTTTTGGTAACATTACTTAACTTCTCTGAGCCTCGGGTGACTCATTTATAAAATGCAGTGATTAAATTAGATGATATGTAAGGTCTTTTCCAGCTCTAAAATGTGGTGAAATTCTGGAAATAGGATTTAATGCTGAGAAGGCTGAAAGGGATACTTAAATATAAACTTCAACTATGTGTATGATTATTGTGTGTTTGAGGGATGGTGACTAGCTGTTCCCTTTTGACTGGGGAAAGGACCTGAGCCCACAGAATTTAATTGTTTCAGACATTTAGAAGACTTTTTTGATTTGGAAGAAAGAGTTACATGTTATGAGAGCAGGCTGTGGAGCTTTATGTTCTGAACTCATTAGAGCAGACAGTTGACTATGACACTCAACGTGAATGTAACTTCATTACACAGGCCTTCCCTGACTCCCTGGTCTAAAGTAGACCCTTCACTTGCTCTTCTTTCAGATTTCACTTTGTTGTTTTCCTCTATAGCACTTATGACAATTCATAATTGCATCTTTCTTTCTTTTTAAAAATTTGTCAGAAATTCCTGTGTGTTTGCTGGAGAGAGACACAGAGAGAGAAAGTGAGAAAACTCCTCCCATGGGGTATGGCCATACCATAGTCCTTTCTCCTTCCTATTTCCCTCCTTTTGGGGTTTTGGGTGTGTGCACACATACACACACACACACCCCTGGTGCTTTTTTTTTTTTTTTTTTTTTTTTCTTTCAAGGTGCTGGATCTGGGACTTGAATCTCATAGTCAGCCATGTGGGATCCAGCCACATTAACATCATTCCATGGGCTGGGCCCTGCATATTTTTTAAAAGTTTACTTATTTTACTCATGATGATAACGCATCATGAGAGAGAATGAAAGATGGAGGAGTCCGACCCGGTAGGGCCCCAGGATCTGTCTTGAGCTTTTGACCTCTACCTCTTAGGTCGGGTCAGCATGTTGGCAAGGTCGCTGTTGTGTAACCCCATCCCGACCTAGGAATAAAACTTAGGTTGAATTAGCATGTCAGCAAGGCTGCTTGCTGTTTGCTCCGTAGCCTTGCTGGGAAGCGACCCCCCTCTGACTCCCTGATATACTATAAAAAATTACATAGCTCTCTTGAGTATGTGATGAGATTTTTCCCAAAAGTCCCCCGACCACTCCCCTCGGCCCTGATACCTACTGTTAATTACAATGCTTTACCTCCGTGGTCACAATAGAGGGTGGGCTGAAGTTCTATCTAGGCAGAAATAATTTTGACCTTTGGAAGGCCCTTTAAGATATATTTAACATAAACTTAAAAATAATCTTTTCTTTACATAAAATAGGATTAGGCCTAAACTGGCCCAGGATACCCCCACCCTCACCAAGTGAAATAGATAAATATATTAGGATTCCTTAAATTAAGTTTTAGATCCCTATAAAACTATATAAGTATCATTCTTTATTAAGATCCATAAGAACTAATATCTATACTTGAGATTTTCTTTTCTCAGCACCATTCCCGGTAATCACAAGATGGCTGCTGCGCCGCATCAGCTGATAATCATCTCTGCTTGCTAGAGCCACTTTCCCAAAACTGCATTCCATAAAGACGCCTACATCAAACGAACAATTGCGGAACTGCACTAGACCCACCTTTAATCCAACCCCGAATAGAACTTCTATACCCTATTATTAAAACTTTATGAGCTGATAATTAAAACACGTAGCCCCTCACCCATTTACTTGCATGTATCACATTTTCAATAAAAAGGCACAATAATTCCTAGCAGTTGTCACTCCTCAGAGAGCGATCTCTGGGAGTGTCCGACTGAGGACGTGCATAAAAATGGCACTGAGGCCTTTGTGTTCTGTTCACCTGTGCCACCTCCGACGAGTCAACCCAACCCCGCCGAGGCTGGACCCTGGCAGAAAGAGAGAGAGAGGGAGAAGCACCCTTAATAGGGTATGGTCATGCTACGATACCCTTCTCACAGCCCTCTAACTTGTCAGGATCTTGGGCACACACGCACGTGCATCTGGTATGTTTCAGGTTGGTCGGCCAGGGATCTGAAACCATGGTTGACCATATGGCTTCCAGCACTGCAGTTCAGTACATTGTCTGAGCTACTGAGGCCGAGTCTGTAATTATTACACATCTTTATTTTACATTTAGTATTTAATGTCTGTCTATTTAGGCTGTAAATCACTCAAAGGTGGGGTGTCTTTAATTGGTTTACCTATTTTGTACCTAGTCCTAGGCAGTGGTTATCACCTGGCAGTGCTCAGTGAATATTTGGTGAAGGAGTAGATGGATGGATGTGTTTTAGAAGTGGCTGATTAAGTGCTAGTACTTCTTGATGGAGGTGGAGCTTTTGCTCTCTTTTTATTGGTAAGAAAAATCCCAAAGACCTCATCTCTCAAGACACTTTAGATACTGTTTTTTCCTTCTTGTCTTCTTTTCCGGGGCTGGTCACCCATGGGCATGTGTTTCTTAGTTCCAATGGGGGTGCCCGTGTGCCTTTTCTCATGGGTTGGTTGGCCTACATGTTTCTGGGGGAGGAGGTCCAAGGGGTGGGTAGAGTTCTGTTGAGTCAGAACAGCCCGGTGGAGCAGGGCTTGATGGTGCTTATTCTATTTGCCCTTCCAGAACTACTCTGATCTTTATGCTGCTCTGTGCGCTAGGAAGCTGACCTTGATGGACTGTGTCAGGCAGTCTCCCTTGCCCTCTTGCTTCCAGTTGAGGTTGTCCATTGAGAAAGGGCACAGTAGGAAGATGAGGAATGGGAGGATAGAGTGGTTGGCTTATACATGTACTCCCTTGGTTCTCTGACCTCTGGGTATCTAGCTGCAAGTCACAACTTCTGCCCCAGCTCTGCCATGGCATCCCCTCCAGGTTCTTGCAAATACTCCCACTCTGTCCCCCCAAGAATAGCAGTGGTAATGGCTCCCTACTAGCTACTCCCTTGGGGCATGTTACCATTTCTTGTTGGTCCCCTTAATGCCACCCACACCTTGACAAAGAGTCCCTACACTAAATTCTCAATCCTTTGATATGAGTGGGCCACTTATTCCCCTTGGCTGTCCCCTGGTACCCCACTGCATCATATTCGTGCCCTTGGCTTACCAGGTACCTTGGTAGGGACCACATCTGCTTGCTGTGGTGCTACGAGTGGGCTTGGGTGTTTATGAGCTACAGGATCAGAGGAGGACTTGGAGGAGTAGTCTGTGGTAAATCAAAATTTGTACCTTAGATTTCTGTTTTTAATTAAGAAGGAAAAAATGAACCTCTGTTAGGTTAGTAGTTTGGGGGATAACTTGGGGAAGAGGTCCAGCTTTTCTCTCTGACCCCTCTCATGAACAGGGCTGGCTTTGGCTGCTATTGCTCAACTGGCCCTATGACCTTAAGCCTCATGTAGGTGATTAAATGTCATAATTTTAGAAACCACACCTGGTACGTGGGGACTGTAGCGCCTTCTCTGCTGACCTGGGGCCTTTTAGGCATTTGCCCTTGCTTCTTCTCTTCCCTTGACTTTCTTTTTTCCTCCCTCCTCCTTGAGGCTGAAAAGCTTTTCATGGAGCAAACCAGAACTGGGCAGCCCACACGGCCAAGGGGATGTCATGGAGTTGCAAGACAAGAGGGAGGAAATAGTAGTTGAGGCCAGAGCTGGTGTAGTGCTTGAGAGTTTTCAAAACACCTAACGCAGGTGAACACATTTCTGCCCCACAAAACCACCCTGTGTGACTGGCATCATGATGCCACTTCTACCACTTCGTAGATGTAGAAACGGCTCTGGGTTCCTCCAGCACCTTGTTCTACTACGTCACACAGTGGGGGAGAGGCAGGAGCAAGTTAAGACTCAGGCTATCTGATACTGCCTTTACCCGGCTCCCTTCTCTGCCTCAGTTTTCTTGGAGGGTATGGGCAGGGTGAGAATCTAACTCTGAGATCATGACATGGAGAAGGCAAAACTGGACTTGCCTCCAGGGTTCCCATTCCACCAGGAGGCAAGAGTGCAGGCATCCAGAGTCCGACCGAGGAGCTCTGGTCCCTGCATGTGCTCAGGATGTCCCTCCTGTCCCACTTGCTTCTAGTGGCCTAATCTGCCTTTCTGTCTTTGCTTTTCAGAAGTGGAGCTGCCTCTGAAGAAAGATGGGTTCACCTCAGAAAGCACCACACTGGAAGCCTTGCTCCGTGGAGAGGGAGTGGAGAAGAAAGTGGATGCCAGAGAAGAGGAAAGCATCCAGGAAATCCAGGTATTGCCTCGGCTCCTGCCTGGCTTCCCAGAGCATCCCTGTTGGGCTTCCAGGACTTCAGCTCCCTCCTCCTCTGGAGGCCAGGGCTGCTCCAAACTGCCTTGAGGTGCTGTTGCCAAGAAGCTCACACATTTCATTCTGATTTAACACGTCCCACAGAAGTCATCATTCCCTTGAGCTTGTTCCTCTTCCCTGATTTCTCTACTTATCCATTCACAACTCATTCACTGAGCCTCCGAGCACCAGAGACTGTACCAGGTCCTGGGAGCACAATGGGGCATGAAACAGACTGAGTCCTCATCCTGTGGAACACTCAGTGTCATCTGGGCTCAGGCTGTGGGGGTGTCGGGGGGGTCCCTACTCCTGCTAGTCTCAAGTGAGTCCTGCCTCACCCTGCCCTCCTCCTCACCCTCAGCCCCAGCTGTAGTTCACCACACTCCTCAGTCCTGTCCCAGCTCCATTTACTCCTCCTTCAAGGTCAGTTTTGTTGTCATTCTGTAGACATGGATGGTCACTTCTGTCCCTGTGTGTCTTCCTCTGTTCACCATGAAAGCTGTCACTAATGGGATTATGATGGCATCTTTTACCATGTCTTTAAAAAAAAAAATACTGTTTTTTATTTTATGATTTCTTATTCACATATAATTGTTGTATATCTTCGTAGTACACAAATGGATTTTCAAAGTATGTGTGTAGTATGTGACAATCAAAAAATATAGACTGCTTCACAGATGTGTGTCGTCCCTGTGTGGGGGCCATGCTAATCTCCATATCATTCCAATTTTAGTGTATGTGCTGTCAAAGCAGCACTACCACTTGTTATTTGTTATTTTATTTTTGAAAATTTTCTTTTCTTTCTTTAAAGAATTATTTTAGTTAACTTTATTTATTTTAATTTGACCAGAGAGGCAGAGAGAGAGAAAAAGTGAGAAAGCAAGCCACCAGGTCTGGGACTCAAACCATGGTCAGCCATGTGGGAGTCCAGTGCCCTTAACCACCATGCCATCTGCCGGTCCCCTCTTTTCTTTCTTTCTTTCTAGAGTTTAAGAAACAAAGGAAGCCAAGTATCTCCAACAGGGTCTTACACTGCCATTTCCCCCAAGCTCTTCTAGCCCGTTGAGATTATGGGTATATACTCTACATGCCTGAGTCCCCTGGGACTCAAATCCATGATCTTCCTTATGGATCCAGCATAAAATCCAGCATCACTCAAGCAGTGCATTGCCACTGTGCCACTGAACTGGCCCTCTAATTTGTTATTTGTCTTGAATCCTCATGGTTTGATATAATGCCTGGCAGGGTATTGTAATAATATTAATTAATGCTAATATTAAATAATTTATAGTAATAATTAAATAGATTAAATTATTAAAATTAAATGATATTTATATTAAACTTATACTGTATATTAAATTTTTATATTTTATGCTATACATAATATATTAATTTATATTCAATTTAATATTTAATATTTATATTTAGTTAATTTATTGAAACTATAAATAAATTTAAAAAATCCATTTTTGGTTTGCTACAAGTCCCTGTGGTCCGTGTGTTCCATCCAGTCAGGGCCCGTGCTGCTGTGTTCACATTGTGTCCTGGGGCCTCGATACATCCAGCACAGAACTGGTTGTTGAATGAATCAGTGAATCCGGTACCTTTCCTGCCACTTCTATATTACAGTGAATGGTTGAGTCCTTCCCGTTAGCTGCCATGACATGGCTTATAACTGTCCCCCTTTCCTTTCCAAGGAGCTATGGCCCTAGTATAGATGCTCAGTAACGGTAACCTTCATTTGTCAGCCAGACCGTGGTGTCATATTTGACTCTTGTCTTTCTCTCACATCTACACTCATCTTGAATCCTGTTGGTGGTGCCTTTGACATAAATCCAGAGTGTGGCCCCTTCTCCCCATGTCCACTGCCACTCCCCTGGTCCAAGCCACACTCATCTCTGGTTTGGTTTCACCTTCTTTAAGTTTGTGTTCTCTCTCTCTCTTTTTTTCTTTCTTTCTTTCTTTCTTTCTTTCTTTCTTTCTTTCTTTCTTTCTTTCTTTCTTTCTTTCTTTCTTTCTTTCTTTCTTCCATGAGCAAGAAAAACACATGGAGAGAGAGAGAATTCCCAACAGGGTCTTGATACCTGCAATCCACCTCAAGTTTCAGTTAGTCCTGGATCATGGACACCTATGTGCTTGTCATATTCAGGGAGGTTCCTGGATTTTAACCAGCCACCTTTCCACATGGGATTGCTTCACAGAGCATCATGCTTTGCTGCTGCACTACTGCCTGACCCTCCAAGTTTTTGTTCTTATCTCTTTATTGAGAGGCATGACTTAACCACTGTATTTAATACCAAATCCGGTGCCCTGCCCGTCTAAGCACATCCATCACCCCTCTCTGCTTTCCTTTTCCTGTTCTTTCTTCCTTACCCTCATTGCTTTTACCACCATCCAGCCTACTTTAAAATGTGCTTGTTACTGTTTATTGTCTATTCTCTTCTAATAGAATGTAAACTCCTCAAGGGCAGGGGCCTTTGTCTATTTTATTCACTCATTTATCTCCAGCACCCAGTCAGTGCTTAGCTCATCTTAGGTGCCCAGTCAGTACTTGTCGAATGGGGGCATGAGTGAGTGGATTCCGGAGAGCTGCCCTGTTCTCAGTCTTGCCTTCTCCGACATGAACTGCCTTGCTAGCTGACCTTTCGTTCTGGAGCCAAGCTCATTTTTTTTGTCTTGCTAAAACACTTTTATTTCCTACTATTAATAGATAAATCCAAAATATTGAGCGTGATCTTCCTGGGCCTTCACTCTCTGCTCCTAACCTAGTTTTCAGGCTTATTTTCCACTACTCTTTTCTTCCCTCTGTTCTTCAGCCTTCTTTCTTCCATGCCTTTGGTCATGCTGTACTTTTTAACTGGCGTGCCTTTTCTTCCATCTCCATGTGTATGAATCCCACTCATCTTTTAGACTCAGTCCCAACTCCTCCTTCCCCATCAAGTCTTTTTTTTTTTTTTTTTTTTGAGAAATTTTTGCTATAGGGCACATGAGCTCGCTGGTGAGACAGAGAGAGACAGAGAGACAGAAAGTGAGAAACCACCCTCCAGGTGGATGGCCATGCCACAATCCCTTCTCCTCCATTTTCCTCTTAGGATTTTGGAGACACATGCACACGTGCCCATTGTGAGTTTCAAGCCTCTAGATCTGGAACTTGAATCATAGTTGGCCATGTGAGAGTCTAGAGCCTTAACCACCAGGCCACCTTCTGGCCCCTATCAAGCCTTTCTTGATCTCCCACAGCTAAAGGGAGCTCTGGTGTTTAGATATCTCTGCTTTCTTTCTTGTGTGTGTGTGTGTGTGTGTGTGTGTGTGTGTGTGTGTTTTACTATTCATGTGTTACCTCCCCCATTTCAGGCTTTGAGACTTAAAGTCAAAATTTATCATTTCTATGTTATATAGTAGAGGAATTTTTGATCAGTTGGTGTAATCTGAGGTTTAATCGGATATCTAGTATCAAGGAGCCCTTTCCCTTCAAAGCTGGTGGTGGGTTTGAGTTCGTCCCATGCAGTGTTGTGCCAATATATGGTTCATGACTGTTGTAGCATCATCATCATCATCCCCGACATAAACTGACAAACTACTGTGTGCAGAGCACAGAGCTACTGTCTTCTGTGCTGGAAGCAGGAACCAGGACCTCAAGCTAAACGATCTCACCAGTTTTTATTGACCTGATATGATTAAAACACATTTGTAGTAAATGGACTATCATTTTAGATTTATTTTCATTCGCTCGTTTATTATTTTGACCAAAGTTTAATGAGGGCCTCCTCCGGGCATGTTGTGTGTGAGGTACTGGGGATAGAGAGAGAGCTGTCCCCTCTGCTCATATGCTAGAAAACAAGTAAAAAAAATTGCATTTGGGATAAATGCCATGAGAAGAACAAACTGTAGTAGAAGAGGAGGGACAGATTCTAACTGATGTCCTCAGGGGACAAGGGATTTAACCTCAGCCCTAAGGAAAGAGCCAGCAAAGTGAGCATCCAGGCCAGAGCTTTCAGGACAGAGGAACAATGTGTGTGAAGGCCCTGAGACAGGTCACAATCTGTTGTGTTGAGAGAACCGGCAGAAGGCCCGTGTGGCAGAGCCTGGTGCCAGGGAGAGTCCAGCATGGAGGTGGGCAGGTGGACAGGAGCCTGACCACTGAAACCTCATGGGACATGGAAGTGGCTTTTGGTTTCATGTGAAATGAAAAAAGACTCCATTTGGAGGATTTTAATCAGGGCAGTGAATTTATGTTTCACAAAGATCCTTCTGGCTGCTGTGTGGAGAGGGGATTGGATAAAGGGCCGATGGTGGAAAGACGGAACCAGTGATAGGATTGTTGCAGTGTTCCAGGCCAGAGATAATGGAGTCCTTAAAAACAAATTTTCTGTTTTTTAAAAAACACAACCACAAACCACTCTTATCATCACTATAAAGACTGTTTTGAGTTTTAGAACAGTTATTTTAAAATGTGTTTATTTTCTTGATAATATCTTTGAACAGGGAATGAAAGTGTGTTGGGGGGTGGAGAGGATGGTCAGCTGATTCTATAATTGGGCCACTTCTGCCCTTCTCTCTTAATCCAGGACACCCTCTCCTTCCTGAGCTCTGAAATGAACTTTGTGAGGAACTTCTGACTCCTATGCCCCAGTTACGTATCAGGGCCACATTGTAAGAAATGCAAACCCACCGGGGCAGCTGCCTTCACGCCTGAGGCCCGGGACATAGACTAGGGAAAGTTGATAGGAAGACAGAGCATGGAGCCTTAAGAAAGAGAGGTCAGTTTACTCCTGGATGTTGAGGTATGTGGCACTCTGGGGACTAGTTCAGCTGCCTTCACCAGGCTTTTGCCTTCCAACCCAGAGTCCATATTGCAGGTAATAAATATCCTTATAATGAAAAATGAGAATGGAGTCTGAATTGTACAGAGATGCCAGAGGCAATGACCTTTAAATTCAAGGCAC